GCGTTCAGTGTGGGAGGAAAAAGTGGTGCTGGCAGGTGGATGTCCAGTTCTAGGAAATTCTGTGCCTCTGAGGAAGTGTAATTACATTTTCTCATGCTCTAGGCTATCAGTGTGGTGTTGGAGTACCTGAGCCAGAGCTATGAGTTAAGGTAGAACCAAGTGGCACTGAAGTCTGGGAAGCAGGGAATGGGATCTGGAAGTCAAGAGAAAATAACAGTTGAGTATAGGTAATTGGCATTGGCCACTCATGAAGAAGAACCTAATTTGTAGGGGGTATCTTTGTTTGCAGTGACACTGTAGTTTCTCCTTTACCTAGAGCTATTCGATTTACTATATAGATCTGGAAGTCTCATATTAAAGTCATGTACCAAAACCAGCTGTAAACACTTTGAGAACTTGTCATCGTGGTATCTTCAACAAGGCTTAGTGCCCTGCTTTGCATATAGTTGGTACTCAGTAAATGTGTGTCAAGTTGCTTTGCTTCCTTCTCTTTGAGCCCATTTAGTAGTTGTAAATCCTGTGTTCTAGGCTTCCGGATCTTAAAATCACCTATCCTCATAGCTGACTATAGTGGATAATTTACAGGGAAATTGAAAAGAAAGATGATGAAGAGCAAAAGAATCATAATGTATCACTAAACTTGGAGAGGTGATCCTCGTGGGTTGGTCTAGGACAGCGTGTTGTACTGTTGTGTTAGGAGTACTCCATTAACTCCTCACTTAGGCTTTCTTTCACATTTATTAATTTGTTATACGAATTTAAACGTTTCCTTTCATTTGCCTCAACAATTTTGATTTGGAATATTGAGACCACATGGGCTTTGGCGTTCTGTGGAAACATTAAAGTGCTGCTCTGTTTTCCATTCTAACTATTGCCTGATCTGCAGAATCCTATTCTTGTGACTTTGTTCATATACGCACTCAGGCATTTCATATTGTCTTGATAAACCAGATTACCTAAATATTTTATTTATTGCTTTCTTGGACATGGTGGTTTTTTAAAAGACAAAATTGTATACAGTAACCAAAATGAAAGTACATAACAGTTCAGTAATTATACATGCTAATGCATGTGAAAATACCCAACTTTCATGTGTATTATTACATAAATACATATATAGACATTACATATAATGTCTGAAGGCTTCATCTCAAATGGTACAGTCTGGGCAGGAGGATCGTGGATGCTGGGGTGTGGAAGAAGTGTGGGGTTTGATTTTTTTTGTTTTTCCCTTTCCTGCCAATTTTTGGATGATTTTATTATAATTTAATATATATTTGATGAATATAAAACAGAATCTGAAATGCAAACTTTGTGGTCTAAACAGCAGTTAAGAGAGAACATGGGAAACAAAAGAAGATTTAAACGACACCATTAGGGCACAGTCTGCCAGATCCAGAATGTGAGAAATTCTAAATGACAAATGGGACTAATTTCTTCTACAGATTACATGTCATGAACAAAAGGAGGAAGAGGAAACTGTTGTAGATTTAAAGATACTTAAAAGATACAGCAACCAAATCCATGTGTGAACCTAATTTGGACAAACCATCTGTATTAAAGAAGTTAGACACAGGCCAAGTATTAGATAAGGAATTATTCCGGCTGTTGGGAGTATCTCATGTATGTTTTAAAGTTCTTATTTGTTAGAGATACACTCTGAAGTATTTATAATAGAAATGACAAATGTCTGCAACTGGCTTTCACACATCCCAGCGAACGACTTCCACAACAGCAACAGCAAACACTGAGGAGCCTGCGGAGCTGGAGCGGGCTCGTCCCAGACGGGACGAGACGTGAGTTTGAGGCTGAGGGATGATTACGTGGGGATGTTCGTTGTACCCTTCTACATGCTCTAGAGTGTGTTTGCAGTTTTCCATGATGAAACCTTAGAAGGCCAAGCTAAGGCTTTGGACTCCAACGGGACACTTGTGAAGGGTCCGTCTAACGAGAGGCCCAAAGGCTAAGCTGGTAACATGGTGTGGATTGGCCGGGACTGGGGAGGACCCGAAGTGGGAGCCTGCTTAAGAGTTTGACTAAGGTGGTAGCCGTGAGAATGGGACTGTCTTTGAGAACAGATAGAGGAAATAATGGCAAAAGCAGAAGTGATTCGGGTGCGTGATGGGGAGCACGAGCTTCTTCCTCCGCAGTCGGCAGCCTTTGTTGTCCTCACACCCCTGCACTGGCTTCTGCGCTAGGAGGAGGAGAGGGAAAAGGCACCTCCGCGGAGGATGAGCCGAACCAGCTCTTCGTGCTAGAAAGTGGAAAGCAAAGAGGAAACAAAGGGTTCTTCTAAATTTTTTAAATAAGGAATTAACTGTCTGTGGTGGCGGTGTGAAATTTACAGAATTTACAGGCATAGCAGTTCACCTTGATCATCTTTCTCTATTTCACTGAGGCGGTAGGACAGTCTTTGTCAGAGGTCCCATCTGAATCATTTCTTGTTAGTTAAGACATAATGTTAATTTGTAAAACCAAACACTTTACAGTAATGGGTGTGGGTTGATTAAATGAGTTGAAACAATATGGTCTGGGGAAATAAAAGTAAAAGTATAGTAAATTAATGAAAGCTTAGATTTAGTATGTAACTTCTGCTTTGTCAATAGAAAAAATATTAAAAATAAACTTTAGACCCAATGAAAGTAGCCGTTGTTAGAGATTAAAGAGAAGTGGTAGTTCTCCAGTTCTCTACACATAAAGATAATTAATCCTTCACACCCACAATATTAATAAGGTCTGATGTAAGCAGGCGCTCCAGAGAGGAATGCACACCCAGAAAATAGCTTTCTGATCACATTTGCCTTCTTCTTGATGCTTCTTCTTCAAAAAATTACACCACGCATCAGTCTTTAATTATGGGTCACTTCCTGTGACTAATACCCCCCCTTCTGTCTCCAGCTAACATACCTCCTATTTAGAGAGAGCTGAGCTGAGGTGGGGGAAAATATTGAAACACAATGCATTTTTTTACTCTTCTGCATCAAGAAGGTTAGGGAACTTTTGAGACCCCCCTAAGACGACTTCTAATTCAGTGCACCCAAGGACCCCTCATGGGCCACCCTAGCTGGTGCAGCTAGAAAGAAGTGAGGTTTTAGTCAGCGTTGCTGCTGGTTTGGGCCCAATTAAAGTAGACTTTCTAATTCATGATAGCTTCTGTAAAAAGCTCTCAGGGAGGAAAGAAAAGGAGAGGAAAATTCCTAGCTAAAAGCAAGAGGAGTGGTTTTTATTTTACCCAGGGCTGCATAGCTGAGCCGCTGGGTCACAGGAGGGACGGGGACGAAGGGAAGCTCGGCTAGGAGTCCTATTATGGAAAAGGTGGCACTATCGTCAGCGCCTGATGGAAATGAGAGGGGCAGAGGCGGCGGTGTCTGGCAGCACTGCCTCCCTCATTGCATTATCAGAACAGAAAGAGAACCTGAGAATAGGCATCCATTATCTCTTTCTACAAAGGGATTAGTGTGGGTTGCAAGAAATTAATGGCTTTTGCATTAACACAAATACTAATGAGTGTCAGGACCAGAGATGTAAAGCAGGTAAAATAGGCTTGTCTCTGCCTCATTTCTTTCCTTTTCTCTTTTGGCTTGCTATTTTAAGATGTAGATCTGTGTTACTCTTTTTTTTTTTTTCCTTCAGCCAAGATCAGAAATCATGCCCTTTGGGAGTGTGACTTGTCTTCTGTAGGGAATGACTCAATTAGCTTATGACCATCTGCAGCATATGTCAGCAAAGAGATGGAGACGTTTCAGAAAAAATATCTCCAGCAGAGAGGACTGCTTCCTCCTGCACTGCTGTCATTTTCATGCCTGATCAAAATCTCGAGACATCTCCCAAGTGATAGCCCTCCTTATTACAGTATTAAGCTTGTATATATTGCGGCCAGTCATTGATTAAAGATGGTATGACCAGGTACACTTTTGAAACCAAGTGGAGTGGGAGGGGAGTTATAGCTACTATATGCTGGGCATTGTGCTGGAAGCTTTGTGTCTAATTCATTAAGCTCTTTTAAGGTACCTGTTGCGTACCAGGCATTGCATTATATGTTGGGTAATAAAGATGAAAAGACCTCACCCCTGCCCTCAGTAGGGAGGACAGACTTAAAAAAAATACAACCTTCAATATGTATTTTATTTGTTTTGATATTTAAATAAACAATTATAACACAGCTTGATAATAGCCCATCGAAGAAGAATGATACAGTAGGGATACCTGATACCGATCCAGGGGTGTTTGTGCAGGCAAGGGGGAGTCAGGGTGAACCCCCTTTCTGGGAAAGGGGGTAGCTGGTGGAGGTGATAGGAAAGAGCATTGCAAGTGGGGGGAAACAGCATAAGCACAGCCAGGCTCAGAGGTGAGCAAGAACTGCTATCTAAGCAGAGACCTAAACAGGGAGCCAGTTGAGTCAAGCCTGGAGAACTGGTTATAGGAAGGCAGGCTCATGAACTGGCCGTGAGGACTGATGGGGCTATCTCAGAAACGGGGGTCTGTGAGCATCACACTTCCTGCACTGTCCTTCCCATTGACCCCTCCTGGCTTCAGCACTCGAAAGGAAGATGAGGCTGAGCAGGGAGTTGGGTCAGGTGGCAGGAGGAACATTCTGACTTGTGTGTAGGTACTCTGTAGGGCGTTACCTAGAAAACAAGAAATCCTGGCAAAGTGTAATTGTTTCGTGGGTCCACAGGGCATAGGTAGTCACATTTTTTCCAGTATTTCTGTCTTCCACACAGACCTCTGCGTGTCACATTGACATTGCTCTTCTCCCCAATACTTTTGTGATTCCACCCTAGCTAAGTTTTTAGACCTGAGATTTTTCTCCAATTACATCGTGTCAATTAGGTGCTATGTTGGAAGTTTACTTACTACTCCTACTGAGTTTAGTTTGAACCAGAAAGGTGCTGACCCCTAATGCATTTGGTTGCTTGAGCCTGTCTTTTCATTTCATTCGATTTATTCTCATTATTGGATTAATGCCATGCCTTTTTGTTTTTGTTTTTTCCGCCTAGAACACAAGCAGGCCTTCCCAAACATTGTGAAGAAGGGTTACCTGGAGATTAGGAAGGACCATGACAGCTGCTGGCAAAGCTGTTACGCGGAACTCTCCCCTTACAACTTACATTTCTACGGCCTCGACAGCAGCGGGAATCAAAACCTCTGCGCCACATACCTGCTGTCACACTTCCAGAGCATATCTGTGCTGGGCAACCTCGAGGCCAGGCTGGTGGACACTGTTCTGTATGACAACACTCAGCTCCAGCTAAAGGCAGAGTCGCCATGGGAGGCTTTGGACTGGGGGCAGAAGCTCTGGGAAGTTGTGCACGCCTCTGTGCCTGGTTACGTGGGACGGCAGGATGAGCTGGCAAACTCACCAGGGCTTGGTTATCATTTTGACGGTACACAGAATCATTGTTTACAGAAGAAATCCAGTGAGCTGTTCACGCGGTCCCCGGTCTCGGACAGCCCCAAACAGTACCAAAACATTCTCAAGTCGGGGACGCTGTACAGGCTCACGGTCCAGAACAACTGGAAGGCATTTACATTCGTGCTGAGCAGGGCCTACCTTATGGCTTTTCAGCCCGGCAAGCTAGACGAGGACCCCCTGCTGAGCTACAACGTGGACGTGTGTCTGGCTGTCCAGATGGACAACCTGGACGACTGTGACTCTTGCTTTCAGGTCATTTTCCCCCAAGATGTCCTCCGCCTTCGTGCCGAGACCCGGCAGAGGGCTCAGGAATGGATGGAGGCTTTGAAAACAGCAGCCAATGTGGCAAGGAGCTCAGAGCAAAATCTGCAAGTCACACTGAGGAGTAAGCCCAAAGATCAGATGGGTGGGCATGAGCTCAGGAAGAACAAACGTCAGTCCGTGACCACCAGCTTCCTCAGCATTCTGACAACTTTGTCTTTGGAACGAGGGCTCACTGCTCAGAGTTTCAAGTGTGCAGGTATGAAGCAGATTTTTAGCCTAAGGCTTATTAAACAATTCTGAATCTCACAACTGGAATTCGGTCACAGCTCCTTCTTGTTTAAAAAGCTGTATTAGAACATCTGTTTGTCTTCATGCCGTGCGGGTGAAGTAAGTACAGAAGTAGAGACAATAGACCCCATTGCATCAAAGTGACTTTGCCAAAGCATTGCCAGACTAGACTTTAGGCTTCCTGAGTCTGCTGTGGTTCTGTTTCCTCCGCTTCCTTAGGTAAAGGTCACTGTGGATGTGGATGCTACAGATGGCCTGCTAAGAGACATTCAGGCCCAAAGCCGACTGCGAGCATCCTCGGGCAAGGGAAGTGCCCAGGGCCAGTACCTGTCATCCATCACGGCCTTGTCAAATCCTGTTGAGGTAGAATCTACAGAGTCAGCCTTGAGTGAGAGAGCAGGGTGGATATGACTAAGCAGATGACCTCTGAGTCACACTGGGCCCGGGGCCTTCTGGGATTGCTGAGGGAAGGTGGGACACAAAGTGGAGTTCAAGGCCAGTAATCTGGTTTTTTTCTTAAAATCCTGTGACTGCTTCTCTTCCCTACTCCCCATTCGTCTTACCTTCCCCAAAGCAGTAAACTAGACAGGAGAAAAAAAAACAAAAACCTCACTAAACTAAATCTATATACTTACTATAAACGAAATCAAATGATTTCCCTTTTCCCCACTATTTGTGCTAAGAAATTTACCACGAAGGCAGCTTTAATTGGAACCCCAATTTGGAAAAATTTAAGTCATGTACATCAGATTTTTAAGTACATTGTTTAAAAATGTGCAAGAGACTCGCTGCCAACCAAGACCAAATTTTAGAATTTGTGCTGGCTCCCGCATTGAAAAGCCATCAACAGTGGTAGCACACTGAAATCCCCCGTTTTGAATTTATGTGAGTTATGATGATGGCCTTTTCTATTGAAAAATAACTTACCTAATGGAGGTGGTCAGGAGTGAGTGAGTTACCCCTGTCCTGCCTGGAGGGCTGCTGTGACTGGGAAGTAGCAGCTTGCAGGGCGAGTTGGCGAGAGTGGAAGCACCTGGCCAGAAAGGAAGCCATACTAGGCGGTGTGTGTATATACATGTCTACGGGCTTGGCTTAAGCCAGCCATCTACTTTTCAAAACTGGTTTTGAAATAAGGAGACACCTTTTGTAGTGCAGTTCTTTAGAAATGTTTGGTATTTCAGTATCTCATTATACTAGTAAATATAGTATGTTTCGAAGTTCAGACATTCAGCAGTCATTTACTGAGTGCCTGCTTTGTGGGTGTTCTGGGATTATGGTATGCTTTTCTGACTTTAGGCTGCCGACAGGGGCAGCACATCTGTTGTGCTATTAGAACCAGGAAGGAGAGCCCAGCTTAATCCTCAAGGTAGGGACGGGGGTGCCTGAATTGGGAATCTTTCTAGTAAAAGGGGAAGAAAAGCCTCAGGTGTAACAAAAGGATTGGTGCCCAGTTGTTACCTAATTCACCTCCCTCTCATGAGTTTGCTTCCTGCAGAAGTGTGCACTGTGCTGTGCTGTCTTAGTGTTTTCAGTGCTCAGGAGCAGGCAGAGGGTACCATTCAGCAGGCCCACTGCATCTGGCAGTGGGGAAATGGAAACAGGAAAAGGAGTAGAAGAGGCAGGGAAAGGAATGCTAAGTGGAAAAGAACAGGAAAAGGATTAAGTAACGGGTGGGGACAGGATGTTTGGGCAGCAGCTTTGGGTTCCATATTTAGGGGTGCCTCTCTTGGCTGTGTTCGCCAAAGTTGGCTGGTTGGAGCACAGGTTGGTAGTAGGGAATCCAGGAGACAGGTGATGTAGTCTAAAACTCATTTGCTTCACTCAGCTTTTACCTTCATGTTTTGCTTTGGAGTTTTAATAGGGCATAGGTAGGTTTTTAATTTGGGATGGGAAGAAGTCAATGCTAATTTGTATAGTGTGGCCAATTCCAAAGTCAAAAATGTTAATTTCATTTCATTGCTCTCTCTTCTATTGGAAACTACTACATTCAGTTGCTTTGTGGTACATGTGGTTTTACTGAGTTGCTTTTCATTTTCCTTAACTGCCTGTGCACGGAATACTTGGTTTCTATCTCAGGTAGGAATACTTCATCTCCTGTAGGGGGCAGAGTCTCAAAAGAAAAAGGCAGGAACTTGTTAAGCAAAGCTCTGAGTGTTTTTTAAATTACTTGGGAGGCTGTTCATTATATCAAGATTATTATAGCAGATGGAACTTTAAAAATTGATCTATGTTTCTCACAAACACAGTTAATGTAAACCAGCTGCTTCTTCGCGTAGTACTTGTGTTCCCTAACTTTGCATCCTCATAAAAACACTCATTCAGTGAAAAGGCTGGTTGCATGGCCATGTTTACCTTCCAGAAGGCCAGAAAGTCCAGGAAATTGTTGTGAGTTGAACCTTGGCCTTATCTACTGTTTTAAGGAGAAGCGAATCCACAATATTTTATGGTTTTAGTGGGCCTTCTCAGACTGTAAGTTTTTATGTCCACTTAGTCCTTCTCCCTTGAAATATTTTTGATGAATAAACCTTAAAAGTGGAAGATTGCACTGAGCAGCTCTTTATTAATGATGTCATTCAGTTGCTATTCAGGAGAGCCACAAACGTTGGCTCTTCAATCCACAAAGTCGTGCAGTTGGCCTGATTGCACTAAATTCTTTCTGTAGGTGAAGAATTTTCTATATTCTTCTTTGAAACTTAAAGTGCCCCTGCAGAGAAAATGGACCGCAACCACCCCAAAATGTCTGAGGTTACGGTTTTGCAAATACATGCTTATGCATAACTGTATCTTTCTTAGCATGTGCTTGAACTTTTTATAGTTGTATTTGATTATGTGTGGTCTGTCCAAGGCCTCCTCTCCAGCTTCATGGCTGCCCTGTGCTTGGGAAGCCCCGGCCACGGAGGCCTGCTTGCCGCTCTGGAGCCCACCTTGGTCATCCCCGCCCGGCCTTTACACGTGCTTCTCCCTTTTCCTGAACGTTTGCCTTTGAAAATTAATTTCTTTCGTTCTTTCTACCCTCTGCTATCTGCCAAGTGTCCGATCACGTTTCTGAAACTTGGGTGCCACCTGGGCAAGTCAGTGCTGCAAAAAAGTAGACATGGTCCCTGCTCTTGTGGAAATCGCAGTCCACTAGGGAAGACGGACGTTAGTCAAGTAACCGCTTCACGGATGCCCAGTGGCTGCTGGGATTTGAGCTCTAGAAGAAGAGCCCAGTCACAGGATTAAGAACCAGCAGCATCGGTGCCATGTAGAACTATATGACATTGCAGGCATTTGGTCATTTCTGACCTACAAAAGAGGGGCAGTTTGACAAGGTTGAACTTAGCGTTTCACCCCGAAGCTGCAGAAGGTTCCCGAGCAGAGAAGCACATGATGAAAGTGGTATTTAATAATAATTAATTTGGTGCTGCTTTAGTACAGCTTTTCAGAAACCCCTCTGCAGCAGAAAATGAGGTGCGTTTTGGTGGAGTTACTGGCTGGGATTCTAAATGGTGTTTGTTGGGCAATGGGGAATCTGTGGTATTAAAATATTAATGCTAAAACAAATGATTATGTGGCTTGTTAAAATATTTATAAAGCGTGTACCTGTAAGTGGTTCTAAGGTTGTTTGCAAATAGCTGGATAAATTAGGTTATAAGGCAGCAACCCTGTTTTCCTCAGGAATTAGACGTGTGTGTGTACATAGCTATTTCCCCTCAATAGATAACACGGTTTTCCTGGCACTGATACACACAGATATTTTTCATGTAATTTCCCAGCAATCAAGAAACCTAGCAATTGACTACAGTACTGTAATAAAAGGGCCCAGGGCCTTGTTTATAGTTGCACCAGGGAGATGCGAAGCTTACCTTTTAAAGCGTCCTTTTTGTTACTGCTTTGTAATCTGGTAGTGAAATCAGATGGCCCACTGTGGGACCGTGTTTCTGGTTCTGAACTGAAGTTGAAAATGTTAACGGAAGAGACAGCAAGAAAAACAGCGAGCCCTGGGGACCCCCTCCGCCGTTTTCACACTGTCAGTTTTTATGGTTTAACTCCTTTGGCTGCTGTTTAACCTCTTGGGACTGCTGTTGGTAATTACGTCTCTCTGGCTTTAAGAGCTTTTTGCTTTCCTTTTTCTCCCCCAGCCCTTGGGAGGGGTTAGCCCAAGGTAGAGTTGGGGGCGGTGGGGGGGGGGTCAGTTTTGCTGTGAATTCTTCAGCCATTTAGTGCAAATTCCTGTAATTACCGGCATTGTGTCCTCTCTGAATGGCACATAATGCAGCAGAAGCCATTCCTAATTGAGACCTTACAGGAGGTACAAATCCTCTCTTTGTTCAGCCTGACAAATTAGTGCCAGAAAGTGGCAGGGTCCGAGTGGGAATCAAAGGCGAGAAACACAAAGATGGGACTTAAGGCTACAGTAATAACCCTCTCTTGTCCTGAAGGAAAAAAAGGAATGACCAGTGAAAAATGAAGTTTTTTTTTGTTATAAATTCCCTTGACATGACAGCACCTCGGGGCTGCTCTATTTATTTAGCAAAAGTGATTAAATAGTCATACAACAGGGCTGTCCATTGTTTCCCTGGGCACCCCCACCTCACAGGCCCCCGCTGCCTCGGCTAATTGATTGACAATGAACCTCTGATAAAGAAGTATGTTGTTAGGGCCTGGGGTGGGGGGGGCATTTTTTCCCTTCTCTTTGTGTGTCTGAGTGTGTGTGTGTGTGTGTGTGTGTGTGATTTCACTTTTGTTTGAATTGCCCTTCAGTTTTTCTTTGCCCCCCCACCCCTCCTTTCCCCCTTCCCCCCTTGCTCCCCCCCCCCCCCACCAAAGCTTTTCAGCGCTTGCTCCCAGCTGACATTCACAAACAGGTAAAGAGGAATTAGTATTGTAGTGCAGGCTTTTGACAAGTTTATCTTTGGAGCAAACTTCCTCCTTCCCCCTGCTCCATTTAAGGCAAAACAGCAGCGTGAGAAGAGAGAAAGAGGAAGG